TACTAGAATGAGGAATGACCAGGGTTTAATTGTGTCTGATATTCATGAGATAGGTGAAGTTGCAGTTGACTTCTATTCTAAACTAAATGGAACTGAGGATTCACAAGTCAAGCAGCAGTCAGTAGCTTTCTATCAAGCTCTACTACAACACAAGCTTAATGAGGAGGAGGGAAAGTACTTAATGAGAGGTATTACAAGAGCAGAAATTAAGAGTGTTTTCTCATCTCTTGGACGTGACAAGGCGCCAGGGCCAGATGGTTTTCCTGCAGAGTTCTCCAGAGCTCATTGGGATATTATTGGGAAAGAGGTTAAAGAGGTAACACTTGCTTTCTTTTCAACTGGAATTATGCCTACTATAGTAAACAACACTATTTTTACATTGGTAGCTAAGGTTCCTTGTGCTAAGAATATGAAAGATTATCGACCTATCTCGTGTTGTAACACGTTATACAAAGGGATCTCTAAGCTCTTAGCTAATAGGCTGGCACAGGTTCTCCCAAGTGTGATAAGTAAGTCTCAATATGCGTTTATCAAAGGAAGGGCCATTAGTGATAATATCCTTTAAGTTTCTGAACTAGTGAGGAACTATCACTATAAAAATGTGAGTCCTAGATGTGTGGTAAAAATTGACATCATGAAAGTTTTTGACTCCGTAAATTGGAAATTTCTGTTTACTGTAATGGAAGCAATGGGGTTTCCTCCTGGTTTCTTAAAGGTTTTGTCTGCTTGTGTTACTACTCCTACAATTAAGATAGCCTTGAATGGGGGGTTATGTGGAAATGTTAGGGCAAAAAAAGGTTTAAGGCAAGGTGACCCTCTGTCACCTTATCTATTCACCATAGCTATGGAGGTTTTGGATGGCTTTGCTGGAAAGGAAGTAAGGGAGAATCAGATCCCTTTCCACCCACGCTGTAAACCATTAATGATCACACATCTTTGTTTTGCGGATGACCTGATGGTTTTCACGAATGGATCAGTAAGGGGGTGGCAGGTATAAGGAGACTGATGGATGAGTTTTATACTCTATCCGGTTTGAAATGTAATGCAACTAAATGCCAATTATTCTGTGCTGGAATATCTAAGGAAGAACAGCAGTATATATCAACTATAACAGAATTTCCTCTTGGATCCCTTCATGTTAGATATCTTGGAGTGCCTTTGATAACTGGAAAGCTTTCAAAGCAAGACTGTCAAATGCTTATTGATAAGATAACTCAGAGACTTCGTAGCTGGAGGTCTCGTTTATTGACATATGCAGGTCGTATCCAGTTGATCTCGTCTGTTATCTCTAGCACATTGCAATGCTGGCTAAATATATTTCTGCTTCCTAAGTATATAATTAAGGAGGTTGAGAGGTTGTGCAATAAATTTCTTTGGGATTCCGTTGATGGTGGTACAAGGAAGAAAGCAGTGATGGCTTGGCACAAACTTGCAATACCAAAACGAGAAGGAGGTCTGGGAATACAAAATTTCAGCCTCTGGAACAAGGCATGTGTGAGAGATTTTAACAAATGGTGGATCACTCAGGGTAGCCTGGGTCTCTCGATATAGGCTGAAGCAGAGGAGTTTTTGGGACATTTCGATCTCCTCTGCAGGGACATGGATATGGCGGCAGTTTTTGAAGTGTCGTGAGTTTGCTGCTGCTTATATTTTAGGTGCTCCTCCAAATGTATTATGGCAAGGGCAGCAGATGAATCGATACTCGGTTAAAAGAGTGTGGGATGCCATTAGAGAACGAAAGCAGGTTGTGGAATGGCGTAAGCTGGTGTGGTCTAAGGAAATTATTCCTAGACATGGTTTCATTTTGTGGATGGCTCTGCACGATAGATTGATGATGCAGGATAAGCTCCTTGAGTGGGGAAAACAGGTTTCTGGGCTGTGTCTATTATGCCCTGCTGGAATAGAAACTCGTAATAATCTCCTGGTTTCTTGTTCATTAACTATTTCTGTATTGCGACACTGTTTGAAGCAGTTTGCTCCTCCAGGGGAAGGGGACTGGAATGCAGTGGTGGCCTGGTGCACTCGGCAGTGGGGTAAGAAAATTCCAAGGCATGGTTTATGTCGTTTGATATGGAGTTCAACCATTAGTTATGTTTGGCGTGAGAGGTGTAATCAATTGTATGGATCAAAAGTGATTAGGCAGCCTGAAGTGTTAGCAAAGCAAGTGCAAGCTGATGTCTCGTATAGAGTTTATAGTGATCTTGCCCTCCAGGCAGAGTTAGAGTATATAGATAGTATACCTTGTTAGGTTTTCTGTTTTGGTTGTAACAGTTTGAGAGGCGCATCAAGCTTTTCCTTGATGTTTTGCCGGTGCTTAATACAAGTTTTTTGATTTCGCATAATTTTTTTTAAAAAAGAGTACAATAATTTCAAAATTTTCACTTGTGTTGGATTTAGATACCAAATGCAACACCGAAATCAATCACCAAATGACTTACACGTTTTTTTGTTAATATTTAATTGGTTTTCTTTCATGATATCACAAATATTTTACTGAAAAATTCAAATTTCACAACAAATGATCGAGAAACAGAATGGTTTTATTTAATCAAAATTCAAAAGAGCTACTTAGAAGATTCAATGGCCGCAAATATTTTTATTGATAAATGATGTGTTCTTAATTATTGCGTTTTTAGATGATTGTTGATCACAATGTTCAAATTCAACATCAGGTGAAATATATCTTTCCATATTACCAGTACACTAATCACTTAGATTTTTTAATGACTACATTAGTGCACAATTGTCTTAGTTTTGGTTGAAACTAATAAAAAATAAATTAATAATGCTTAATTTTATAAAAAATAAATGTCAGGTCATTTACCTCAAAATAAGAAGTATAAATATTTCAATTAAAATGTGAAAAAATACAATAGTAAGTTAGAAAGACTTTATCAACAAAAACCTATGAACTAATTATCATTGATGAAACAAAAAACTAAATAGCCAAAAAAATACTACCAAAACAAGTATATTTTTTTTAAGAAAAAATCATTAATCATTTATAAATATGAATGAATTGATTACATTAAGCATAAAATGAAATTTCATCCAACCAACGAGTCAAGTAAAAACTATTATGTGAAACAAATGTATGTGCAGTAGTTGACCGGACGAAAGTATCAGTTAAGCCTAATATGTGGTATTGGTTCGCGTTACACATTAGAATCCAAATTGGAGACTTTACCTAGAACAACATGAAAAAAGAAATTACAATATAACAATTTTATTAAGGATAAGGGTGATATCAATTCACTTTTGTGGTTTAGGGATTATTTAAGGAATTTGTACTTGAAACGTCCAGATTCAAATCCAGTGGTACAATCACTAGATTAAGCCCTTCGTCATTACAAATATACCAATTTTAGTAATGTGGATACATAACTTACATCAAAAGATAAAGTACACATCTTGAAATACCGGTTCATTGGTTTCAAAAGCTGACCTCATAAGCCACTCGATCAAAACTAAAATGGACATTCTTCCTCACATTATTAGTTCAAATAATGAAAGTACATTTATTTGCTAGGTAGAATAAAATGATATTAAATGGGACCTTCTGTTATGGAACCTCATTATCAGAAGTGCATCATATATTTGCTCCAAGTTGATTAGCTAACATACTGCGCACATATTAGGCGGATCGCCGTCGCCGCCGTGTGCGGCGGATCTTGAATTACTTCTCTTAATCCGGCGTTTGCTCACCGCAGCTATTCGACCATGCTCCTCACTCTTGATTCCAACTGCAACAAAGCCAGATACAGAATCCCCGTTAGTTGGTCGGTCAACGAATTTAACGGTTATCATATATATTTACTGCAACTGATGTTGTAGTCAAAACGCTTAATTAAAATGCCCAACTCAAGCACAAATTTAACCTAAACTGACTTTGGAGTTGAGAGACATTCTTTGATTTCTTTCTAACTCACCAGACATGGCTGCGGGAACTCGAGCTGCTTCCACCAGGACCATCTTGTTGTTAGCCAGCGAGGAGAAGAGGAGCAGAAGCAAAGGAATAATGATGTAAACAGCACAAGAAGGAGCTCTGGTTCGATTAGCCATTGCTATTTGCCAGTGAGAGTAATGAATAACAAATGATACCTACAAAGGCCCATTTATAATGCAATAATGTGGAGTGCATAGTTCATAAACCATTGACCAAGAAACTGAAAACAGGCCAGCTGGGTGAACATATAATTAACAACACCTCCGGAAAACATCCAGCGTTTCCTTTCTTTTTTGCCTAACATTTCCAAGCAATAGCTTATTGGTGGTTTGGATGTACGTGTTATTTGTCAAATTTGTCATTTGAGATTAATTACCATACAAATACTAAAAATGTGACAATACTTATTATTTGTTATATCGTATTTGTATCAAACATTACCTTTGGAAGGTTGGATGTGGTACATGTATCAAAATTGGTTATTTTACCAATTTGTAATTCTTAATCTCGTCTCTTGCTCGCTTGGTCAGCGTGTGTGCATGCTTGGTCAACATGCAAGATGCATATGTAAGGAGTTTTATATGTCCATTTTACATAAGTGTGTTTCAGAGATTCACATCAGTTACAAAATATTAGAAGTATAAATTTAGCTGAAATTAATATGTATGAAATTTTATAATTCATTTTAAAAGAATTGAAAAGTTGATGGAAGTGGTCGAGAATCGATTGAGATTTTAGGGTGTTGGTTTTCTTTCAGGGCGAGAAGAATGAAGAAGGAGAAGACCCGTCCCGATTAATTTCTAGTTTCTACGGGTCTGTTTTTCGGGTCACAGGGTCAGGTGGGTTTTTTAGGGTCTGAGTGTAGTTTGACCCGTCCCTTATAGGGTCAAGAGGAAGACCCGTCCCGAACTTGTCCCTCTGTGCAAATTGACCCGGCCCGACCCTTCGGGACGGGACGGGTCGCCGGGTTTTAAGGGTCAGAATTTCAGCCCTACTTCTAACGCACTTTAACAGCAAAGGCAAGTGAAGCGGCAGCCACCACTGTAGTCACGGATGAAACCATAGCCCAGAAGCTCTTCTTCTTCTCTGCTTCTGCAACAGAGTTCTCCAGAGCTCCAACTCGCTGCTTCATCTCCTCCACCTTTGCATCCTTGTCTCTGAAACAGCTCTTGATCGCTTCCATTTGTTCTTCAACCTTTTCCACTGTGATCTTAGGCAAGGTGAAAACAGATTTATGCGCACTCTAGAAGGCTGAATGATAGATTTCTCGGCCAATCTTGGAATCCTAGGCTTTATGGTTTCGGGGTTAGGGAAGCTGATAAATGAAACATGATCTACTTTGTTGAAATCAGAGGTGGAAGCTACATTAACTCACCTTTTCCTTTTCCTCTGTCAAGAGAATCTATCTCTTGACTTACACAACACAGAAAATGAAAGAGAGGAGATGACACTGTTTATAAATAATGCATCATGCTAGAGCAGTAGTGGCTTCTGTTTATAAATAATGCTTTGATGTTGAAGTTGATAAAGGAGGGATCAGTTGCATTTTAATGACTATTTATGCTTTGAAGTTGACCAAAGAGCAGCTTGCATCTGTACTATCATGAGTGAACAAGGTATGAAAAGTAATTTGTTTTTAACATTCACTATTTTATTTAGATAATTATTAATTTATTTGATGTGTTGTTAATTTTGCAGAGTTGAAAGAGTCTTGCTTGGATGATTGTACTATCATGAGTGATTTAGTTGACGATGATTGAAGAATGGTGTACTTGATTATTATCGAACAATGATGTCTTGTGTGATCATGAGTATGATGTACTTGATTATTATCGAACAATGATGTATTGTGTGATCATGAGTATGATGTACTTGATTATTATCGAACAATGATGTATTGTGTGATCATGAGTATGATGTACTTGATAATTATCGAACAATGATGTCATTGATGATTATTTAATAATTGATGTCATTTCATCCTTTCATCAAGCACATATATTATGGGAGTTTGGTAAATAAATAATTTTCTGAAATTATTTTGGCAATTGATTAATTTTCTGGAATTAATTGGGTAAATAAATAAATTTCTGGAATTATTTTGACAATTGATTAATATTTTGGAAATATGTTGGTGATTGATTAAATTTTTGGAATATTTTGGTGGTTAATTAATTTTTTGGAATTAATTTGATGAATAGATAATTTTATGAACAGAGATTCGTAAATAAAATGATTTTTTGAAATTAATTTCGTAATTGATTAATTTTCTGAAATAATTTCATAAATAAATTATTTAACTAATTAATTAATTAATTTTCTGGAATTAATTTGATAAATAAATGATTTTCTAGAATAAATTGGGTAAATAAATAATTTTCTGGAATTATTTTGACAATTGATTAATATTTTGGAATTATGTTGGTGATTAATTAAAATTTTGGAATTATTTTGGTGATTAATTAATTTTTTGGAATTAATTTGATGAATAAATAATTATCTGAACTGAAAGAATTGATTTAATTTTGTGTCGGAGAGGGTCGACCCGCTGACCCGTCCCGTCCCGACCCGTCCCGACCCTAAAGGGTCAGACAGGGTCAAGAAGAGAACAGGGACGGGACGGGTCGATTATGCAAGTTGTCCCTTTAGGGACGGGACAGACAGGGTCAGGGACGGGACAGGGACATGCAAATTTTCAGCCCTAAAATTATGGATAGGATAGGAAATGGTACTACTTGTGGTTTTTATTAAGGAACCCACTTGGTCATCTTGTTAGATCCGTTAGTTTGGATTCCATTTTATATTTTATAAATCCAACAAGCTAAGTAAATACTAGAAAACACCAAAACCAACAAGTTGAGTAGTCAACTATATTGAAGAATGGTGTGTACTTCTTTGGTTCCTTTGGAAGGAACGTAACGCCACCTCTTTAATGGCATGAAGCTTCCGGAAGACTAGATTGTAGGTCGGGCTTATAATTTTCCGGAGGACTACCGAGCTCATTAAAAAGTACAGGTGGAAGTGGAAAATAACAATGCCGCTCAACGGGTGGATGGAAGAAGCCGCAATTCGGATGCGGGAACTCTTCGGGAGGGAGGTACCGAGATTGGAGTAGTAATTAGAGGAACATGCGAGGTGAGATGCGGCCAGACACAGCCGAGGGCGTATGCGGCGAAATTGAGAGCTCGACTAGCCTAGCAATGCGATGGGACACGATTCATTTTGGAGAAAGATTGCTTGTCTTTGGTCCAACAGTTGGACAATGCTGAAGGCCTCCAAAATGAGGACGGGGTTATTTGCAGGAGTATTAGAAGACAGCTTGCCCATGTCAATGAAGGGAGATGGCAGTTTGTGCCGAGGGAAGGAAATGCAGCCGCCCATATTATGGCACACACACAAAGACAAGATGGAATGAGACGATAGTTTGGGTCGATCGACCGCTGTTTTTATCTTGTTGATCAATTAGTATTGGATAATGTAACCATTGGTGCTGATTAATAAAACGTAGCAGAGTTTACTATAAAAAAAGCTATATTAGATAATATGAACAAAATGGTATCAATCGTAGCTTGTGATAATATGAACAAAAAACCCATGAATTTGCAAAAAAAAAAAAAAACATTCAATATTACTTTCATTTGAAGGATTTAGGATTTAGGGATTTAGGGTAGGGTTTAGGTTTACAATTTAGGGGTTTGTGTTGGGATTGAAAATTAAAGGTTAAGGGGTTAGGATGATAGATTGATTAGTTGTGATTATATGTTATATCATCATATTAGACTATTACTACCAATTCAAGTTCAAAAATTAATGTATTAAAGTCACTTTTAATGCACCCAAAAAGTGAGTGCACCGAAGTAGCCACCATATATATATATATGGATACGACTCGTATGCTCCAGACGCATAGTATGCTCCAGTCTTTTACATCGTTGATCTAATCTTACGGTCATGATTTATTATAATAAAGATATTTAATTATTAATAATTATAATTACTAATCGCACCCCTTTAATAATTATACGTACATCATAATCACTCAAACTATTTTTATCATCATAAATGATATTATGATACCTTATTTCTTTTAATCATACGTTTAAGCATCCCATTGATTAAATAAAACTAAAGCTTAATGTTTATACGTCGTCGTCATCGTCATCACACAAAGGCCAAAGCTACCTTCCTCAACAACTTCATCGAAGCCCATCCTTGTACCAAGCCACATCCCGCCAACACCTTCATCATTAAAACACACAGTAGCTACTAACAACACCATCATAACTAAAAAGGCAACAAAACTGCATCGGTAAAATCAGCTGTGAGATTTTCGGATAGTAGCGTTCTTACTTGCTCGCTTCCTTCACCAATCACCATCACTAACAACACCTATTGCTCGCTTCCTTCGTCCTCGTCCCGACGTTCTCGACTGCCATGGCCTCCCACCCCAGCAAATCAAGCTTCGCCTTACCGTTAAGCTCCATCGTCGACGGTTCCCGCAAGGCCCTACGGTCTCGACCCCAATAATGATGCCTCCGTCGAGTAATAGGGAAGGTTGGGAATCAATTACATGAATTAGATTCTTAATTTAGTATTTTATCTCTTCTTGCCCCCCCCCCCCCCCCCCCCCCCCCCCCCCCCCCCCCCCCCCCCTTTTCATCTTCTTCTTGCTCCAGCTCTATTATTCATCAACTGCAGAAAATAGAGAGAGAGAGGAGTCATACTTTTTGATTATTTATTGGCTTGTGGTTCTATGGCATAATTATTTAGACACAAAACTCTTTGTTTGTTTTTTTTTTTTTTCTTTATTGGTAAATAAAGCTCCCTTTTACTAGCTTGATTATGTAACTCGGTTGTAGAACATCGTGACCAGAGGGGAAGAGGTAGAGGAAGACGATGAGTAGCATCTTGGGACTGCGATGGAGTTTGATGGGCCAGAAACTTATATTGGGCTTGGCACACACGATGACGCTTGAAGCTCCGTCACTATTTTTCCATAAGCTATTAATTGGGCCGAGTACGTGTATGAGCTTAAGTAATTAAGGCTGGAATAAATCACAAGTTAAAATAATTTAAACCAGCCCAATATATAAACTATTCTTGTATCGGCATATCCTCTTCCATCAATAGAAGTTGTACATGTTGCTATAACTTGAAGACAAATTATTTGTCATCGACTGGAATCATGGATCTGGCTATACCCTTTTCCTTTGGATATGGTTTGTGACATTTTCTTTTCTAGGTTGGATTAGGTTAGGTCGTCTGGAGAAGGTAATATACATACCTTCTCAATCTATGTAATCGGTGTGTTCATTACTTTTTGCATTTTCGATTTCCCAATTGGTTTTAACATCACCATTGTCTGCGTATACCTGCTAACCTTCCTACTCGTTGCACCATTGTTGAATTTTCACGTTCATGTGCATGAGAGGTGGTTTGCTAACATGCTTGACTCTTTGAATTTGAGTCTTTGATCATACTTGAAAAGTATCTACTATTTCGACCGAAACAATGATTTTGTTGACAATACTATAGCGGGTAAATTGAGATTTATTAAAAACAAGTTCATATCTAGTCAGTATAAATATTTAATTCCATTAGTGATCACTAAGATTAGTTAAATAGTTCAATTTGTTCATTCTCCATTACCTTTCGTTAGTCTCCATTGACAACATCAGTTTTTGCTGACGTGGCTAAAAAAACTTACAAAGTCAGCCAAATTTGACACACCACGTCATAAAACCTAACCCGACACGTCAATAACCCTAACTTGCAACCCGACCCCTTTTTTCACTACGAATGTGTAAGAGGAAGGAGAAACTATTTCTAGATAACGTAAAGAGCAACCGTGAGGCAAAGAGGAAGGAAAAGAATAATCATCATGTGGTGGGGTGCACAAGAAACTATTTCTTAGTATCTACCAAAGTTGTCAACCTGCGGGTTGAACCGGACCTGGTCGAGCTAGTGGATGAAGGGTTAACTGGTCACCCCTTTTAGCCCGAAAATATGAAAAGAGTTATTATATTGTACTTATCCTGATAAATTATATCAAATCTCATCTAACATATGAGTAATAACATATAACATTACACCAAAGTAACATGCCGTACTTAGATCCAACATATAGTGAAAATTCACACACACTTATATAATATCAATATTCAAATGTTTAACTAAGGATTCCAAATATTGAGTTAGGCGAAAAGAAAAATAAGAAAATATACGCATTTCGCAAACCAATGAAAAAATAGCACAATTTGACCTCCAACCCGATATCCTGTAGCGGTCGACGCGGTAGGTGCGTGCGGCCCATTTTTCTCATCGGGTCAGGGTCAAAGTGGGTCAACCCGTGGGTTGACAACCTTGGGATCTACACATATTTCTCATCTTTTGACCTCTCTAAAATTATTTTTATTCCAAATAAATTTTACGACTCTATCTTTTAATTATTTAGACTCAAGTATTCATTTTACTATATTTATAATTCATTTATAAATTATTTTCTCTGTGTTATGTAAAAGAGTTAAATATCGACCTTATTTTTCCAGATAACATATAAGAGTAGGTCGAACTGTCCCGCGCGAGTATAATCCGGCATGACCCGCACTTAATTCGGAGTGAGTATGGGCATTGAGGTACCTCGTTTGGCTTCAACCTTAATAGTGTCTAAACCGCTAGTCTTCAACCTATATGTCCTAAGTTCGAATGTCTTAAGTTCAACCTGTATGATAGCAACCCGTAGATTCGTGACCCAACCCATGTTACAATTATTGTACTGCGTTTCATACACCAAACATATTGTATAAGATAACATATTAGCATTTTGTGTAGCTTATAAGGAATAACATCTTCAACTTCGTTCGGTAAATGTTTCTCAAATGTATTTACCTTATACAACATGATCACAAACAAATCGTAAGATGCTAATATTGTTGAGTATTTTGAATTTAGTATTTTAAAAATTAAAGTATATGAATTGGATGATTAAACCGACTAAATCTAAACCACCAGTCCATCAACCCTAATCTTTAGTTGGGGTGAAATTGGAAAGAAGTAATTAACAATTACATTTAATATTCCCTCCACATTTTCGTTCCAAGCGGGAAGGAGACAAAATTGAATATTTTTTAATTTCACTTTTCCATTTTCACAAAACCATTTTGTTCTATCCGCCAAAATTTTGGCCTCTTCCTATCATGAGAAGCCGCCCATTATCTCATTTGTTCTAACCCTCGTCGAGTGCTCCAACCCACAGTCTTGCAAGCAGTCCTCACTCCTCACCCCCTCGTTTCAGTTTCCAAGCAACCCACTTTTCCTAATCAAATACACCAGGTCTTCGAGGCCCAGCTCGGCGAAGGTGGTCCCTCTGCAAGACACAACCGAGTTATTGAAAGTTGGATATTGCTCCTCCTTCCCCCGTTCAGATTTATGGGTTAAAAAACTTAATTGATTATGCTCCATGATATGTTTGATCGTGCAGATTAGAAGAGTTCTCCGAGTAGTGGGGTTTGATTGATTAGAATTGGTTGAAAGAATGGTGTCTTTCGTTGAGTTATACCTTATACGTGGATTGTTTTGTTTTGTTAAAATCAACTTTCTGTTTGAAATGCAAAGAGTAGAATTTCTTATAATTAGCAATTAGTTGTCTTTTGAGCAGGATGTGAAGGGAAAGGTAGAGATTTTGAATTTTGAGTTATGCTTTCTGTGCGCAGGGACGCCAAGGCTCTGCAGGAGAAGTTGGCTAAGAAAGCAGCGCATGCCGCATAGGAGAATCTTACAGGGGTAATGGGAACGCTAAGAAATATTGACAAGGTCTTTGATCTGAAAGCAAGTTGTTTGTTTGATCTTTTTGTGGCCTTGATTTCTCAGTTGCTTTTTCCTTATATTAGGTTGATAGTATCTCAAATTAGAAAGTTGAATCAAATGTATTGCTAACTAGAAGAGATTGTTGCGTAGATATGTGGTAGATGATTGGTATTCCATCGAGACGTGCCGAATGAGAGTGCTGATTCTATGATTGTTGCGTAGATATGAGGTTTCGACAATTCTCAAACGCTATTGGAATTCTATGATGGGGTTTTAGAGAAGCAATTGATTCTAGTTTTCTGCTCCTGCTGAAAGGTGATGTCATATTTCCGTGTTAATGTGTTGTTAAGAGTATCACTGACAAATTAGCAGTTTACAGGTTCCTCAAAGTGATGGCCATGGTATGGGCTGGAGGCTAAAGTTGTTCGAACAGGAGGGTGAGTTGTAAGAACTTCCTTCTAATCCATCTATGATTCATTATTCTATTGTTTCTATGAGAGGTTTCTTCAGTGTTTGGAGAGATGCTAATGTTAGTGGGAAATCTAGTCGATTTGGGGCCTGTGAATTGGTTTCTGAAAATGGGTATATTTCAGATTTCCATTTCACCATATGCTTGATAGTGCAGATTCGTTAGTTGTCTGAGCACTAGGGTTGGATTGATATAACTTGGTGGAAGAAATGTCATAGTTGGTTGAACTTAACCTTCTGCTTTTTTGGCCTCTTGCAGGGTATTAATAGAGGGTGAATTGTGGAGTATATGGCTGATATGAAGGAAAACATGAGTGCAAATTTCTCACCTCTTTTAAAGACGAGGTTGTGGCAAGGTTAATCAATCCAAACAATAGGTAATTAAACCCGATCTAGAAAATATGCAACGAGTCATTATGTAATTATACTGTACATGATCTGCAGACATTATGTAATTAGAAGGCAGGCAATTAAAGTTCCAATCTTTTTTCAAGACTGTTCCTGAATTAAGAATTTGTATATACTCTACAGGATCTGCTGACATTATGGGCAATGGCAAGAAAGGAGTTCGAAGGCTTGCATTCCCAATTGTAGAGTGATCTCACACAATTTGTAGCAGATGTTGTTCTACTTAGAATCTATCTTGTTTAGTTTTTTATAGCATGAAACTCCTCTACAAAGAATTCTGCTTGCATCTCAGCCTGGGTATTCCGATTATGTAAAATATCAGTGTTTCTCCCTGACAGTGTTCATTGATTCATATATGTTTTGTAGGCATTCCGGTTGAGGAGATGGCGAGGAGGCATTTTCAGTTTAACCAGGTGTTTGGTCGTACTGCCACCCAAGGTGATTTTTGCTGACTTGTAGACCACAAATGTGTTGCCTTTTTAACTACGGATCTAGCCGTGTTGAGTCTAATGCTTTTCTGCAACTGAACTATTCATTACAGATGTCTTTGATAATGTCCAACCACTAATCAGATCTGCGATGGACTGCTACAATGTATGCATTTTCTCTTATGGACTGCAAGGCTCTCTCATAGTTCTTGATAGGATGGGTTAGATTAGAGATCCTTGTGCTGCTACAAAATGGGATGCTTGGGAAGGGTAACATGCTGCCCAGACATAAATGATACCGACCTTATAATATCCCGAATGTGAGTATTTCTCTTACTTTCTGGAACTAGTGAATGTTGTCCTGGTTTAGCTTTGCGAAGTTGTGGGAACTCATTAGTAAGTTCAGAGTGGTATATCAATAGCAAATGCAGAATGGTCTCAGCAAAAACCGAAGAATTCCAAGTGAGTGGTGTACAAAAAAATTACTACATGCACTCTGCTGGAGTTTGTGGAAGGAGAGAAACGCTAGAATCTTTGAGGAGGTTTCAGGCATGCCGCAGGTTGTTTGCTATATAATTGGCTGTCAACTAACAAGTTGGCTAATTAGTACAAAGAAAGTAGAGCGGGAAGTTGCTGAAGGATGGCTTGCTTTATTTAAGAGAAGGTTGCTTCCATCACAAAGACTGGAACCAGGCTTAATTAGTAGGGAGATGGATGGCAGCAAATGCATTGAGTCTAGCGACAGGCTACTTTTTTCTGTGTGTAGAGCCAAGCATAGTTAGTAAATACTCCGTTTAATACACGTATATGTACTCGTACGTACTTTATCCGTTTAAAACTTCCGTATTCATATTATTGTCAAGCCGTTTCATTTTTGTCCGTTTCATTTGATGGCTCCCGTATTAA